GAGTGCTAGAGGGGTGAGCAGCACTCCTGGCCGCTACTGTAAATTTGAAGGCCACATTCTTAAATTTTTATTTGTTCCTGGTATGGACACTACATCGACTTTCACAACTGTTTGCTCATGACTCACAGTTTAAAAAGCTTTTTCTGCCAGGTGTGAGGGTGCTTGTCTTTAATCCCAGCACTCAGTGGCAGGATCTCTGAGTAAAATGCCAGTCTGGTCTACAGAGCAAGTTCCCAGACAGCCAGGACTACTCAGAGAAACCCTGACTTGAAAAATTAATACTGCCCGTGTAAGCTACATGGCCATGATTTTATGTGACTCTTAATCTGGGGCCAGGCATGAGCACCCCTTGTTACTGGAGGAGCAAAGGGCTCCACAAGGAGTGAAGTTGCCCAAAGTCACAGTGCCAGGTGCAGCTTTCCCTGGGTGGGAATACAATATCCTGTGTCAGGGAGCCCTGACTCTAGCCCCTCCCAGAAACAAGACCCAAGGGAGAAAAGAGAAACCCACACCTTAGGTCTTGAGTCTTCTGTGAGTTAGTCTGGCTTCCACTCCTTCTAAATGATTGGCCCCAAGGGACTTGCCAGCCCCACCCTACCCATGGATACCTCCAGTTTATTGGATTTATTGGTGTTACAACCCAGATTGCTTCTGGCACGTGACTTAGGAGGCAGAAGGAACTGCTTTGTCCCCATACCTTGTCAGTCATTTCTACTGCGTATGTCATTTCTTCAACCTCTCTGGGATGAAAAGATTTCATGACAACTGGTTCCTCCCAATGGCTCTCAAGGGACTCAAGTGAGTAGGTTCAGTGCCTGCCGGGTATCGGTACAAGTATAAGCTCCAGGCTGATTCATCCCAGAGGAGCTCAGTCGGTAGGTGACCTGGTGGTGGCAGAGACAGTGGCGCATGCCTTTAATCCCAGCACTCGGAAGGTAGAGGCAAGTGGATCTCGGTGAGTTCAAGGCCAGCTTGGTCTACATAGCAAGTTATAGGATAGCCAGTTCTACACAGAGAAATCCTGTCTGGAAGTAGAAAAGAAAAGAAAAAAGTGAGGGAGGAAGGAGAGGGAAGCTAAGGAGAGTGCTTCTTCCTTTGTCCCCTGGGTGAGGCAGAAATCCAGGGCCTAAGGCTATACCCCCCCCCATCAGAAAGCAGAGAAAGGGACAGAGGAATGGGGCTTAATGAGCTACTGAGCTGTCTTCTTCAATGAGCTGGAGCCCACAGGTCCTTCAGCAAAATCTGACCGAGAGATGTCAGGTCACGCAGGCACTTCTAGAGTAAAGCTCAAAATTGGTGCCCAAGAGAAGGATGGTAGATCGCTACAGGCATCCCACCCCAACCTGGGTCCCAGCACCCTCCCTCACCTAGTCCTTTGGTCCAACTTGGGCCACTCAGGGCCAGCTCTGCCTGGATGCCCACACTGAGGCCTGGTACCCTGGAGCCATAGTCATTGGCTCTCCCACTCCGTTGTGTAAGACCAGGTGACTGGCGTTCACTGGGGACGGTGAAGCCCATGCCAGCCTTTCCTTGCTCCTGCTGCAAGGCCAGCCTTGCAGGCTGCAGACAAGGTGGGAAGGAGCAGGCTTCTCAGGAACTACACTAGCTGGAGACATGGCTCTCAGGATCCAAGGACCTTTGTGACAGGAGCTGGGGTCACACTGGGTAGATCAAGCGGGCTCAGCCCCAGCACTTACAGCCACTTCCTGAGCCGATAGTTTTCACCCGAGACCCAGGTGTCTCCTCACTGATGGAATGAGAACCATCCAGATTCCTCTCCAGGCACTGTGGTCAGACTTCACCGAGACCTGGGGTGTTCTCTGCAGAGTGTCCGGCCCCGTCAGTGCCCAGGATGATGAATAAGCACAGACTTAACTTCTGGAGCAAATGGAGTTAAAGCCCTGATTCATCGCTTCATTCTCTTCTGGCAAATGTTTGCTAATGTCGCCAAGTGTGAAGCAGGTTCTGGGTCTTGGTGCCAGGACTCTAAAGCCTACTGGGGCAATAAAGAGTTCCTAGGGCCCCTCCCCATTTGGTGCCATGGTATAAAAGCTAGCCCCAGCAGAACAATAAACAAGCTGCTGTTTCACCTCAAAAAAAAAAAAAAAAAAAAGAGTTCCTAGGGCAGATGAGGGTTAGGCAAGGGCTAGAGGGGAAGTTTGGTGAAGGTAGAGCTGTAGGAGGGGGGACCAGATGTCAAGGAGCTGGAAAACGAGTGAGGGATGGGTGAGGAAGGTATTATGGCAAGACTGGGGTGACAATCCCAGTAAGTCATGGGAAAACCAGGAAGCTTCATGGTGGGGGCTGAAGGCTGGCACCCAGCAGCCTGACTGGGAAGTTGCTCCACAAATCCAGATGTAAATGGAGAGGATGGAGCAGGTGGGTGGGAGGGGAGCTTCTGCGTGGAAACAGGAGAGCCATTGTAAAGGGAGACAGAGCAAGCAGGAAAGAAGGGATGGGGTGGGCCTGAACCCGCAAACTGCAGATTGAGATACTGCGAGTTTGTACTGTGTGGTGGACGTCTGGGCAGACAGCAGTCTAGGGGATACCAGATAACTGTGACCATTGCTCAGCCAGAGGGCTGGCAATACAGTGTGGTCAATCACGGAAGTCATACACTAATCAACAGTGCTGGGGCCTTATTGTTCAGGGATGGACCCAATTGAAGGGCACTGAGTCGAAAACAACCTTAAAAGGCCCCACCTCTCTTGATTGAGTGCTTAGACTTTGACAAAACAGGCAAGGAAATATGTCAGTTTTCATACTGGTTACATATTAAAAGAACATTTTGGATAGGTTGGCATAAATCAAAGTAATTGGTAAAAATTTTATCTTCACCTTTTTAATGTGGCCACGAGAAAACATAAGAGTCTCCTGCGTGCATCACGTTTGATCCTGGGGTTGTGCTCTTCAGCAGTCCCCAGTAGACAGGAATGCAGCTCTTAAGGGGACACACTAGGGGAGCGGCTCCGCCCACAGACGTGAGACCTGCCTCTCCATCTCTGTTTCAGTGTGTGTGCACCCATTTACACTTCTTACTGGCCACACTGACCTCCGCTGTTGGACACGCACAGTGCAGACACTCAGACCCTGCTGGGCTAGCGTATGTCCATATCTTTTTCCTACCGCTTCCTATTAGTTTTTTAGGTTTTTTTTAGCAAGTACACAAAACATCAGGTTCCACTCTGGCGCTCTCAGACAGGCCTGTCATCAAAAATCACTAATTTTCGTCATCTTTCCTCTTCTTAGTCCCCTCCTCCCTACAAAGACATATTTCCTTTTTCTTTTTCTTTTTTATTGTGTGTGTGCTTGGTGTATGAGCACATGAGTGTGCTACAATGCATATGTGGAGGTCAGAACCACCCGTAGGAGGAGTCAGTCCCCTCTCATCCCCTTCGACACGGCAGCAAGCACCGCCACCATTCCACCAGCCAGCATGTGCTTTTTCAAGTCCTGCTAGAACATTCTTGGGCTGTCTGCTGTGTAGACTGGAGATCCCGTGACAGGAAGGCAGTGAAGTGACACTGATGTGCACCACAGTGCACAGGCCATGATTCGAAGGCTCCTTCAGCCCTGCGAGGAGATGTGGACTTTATCTTGCAGTTAGCGGGAGCTGTTCTCTATTCCTTTGTTAAAAAATCAATGCAGTTTATGAAGACCTGAATTTGATCTCAGAACCCACTTTAAAAAAACAACAAAAAAAAAGCCAGGTGTTAGTCTGGTGTGGTGGCAGCTGTCAAAGGGAACTGTGTGTCTGTCAACTGTGAATCTTTGTATCTTCAGTGTCCATCTGTCTATAGCCCAGCTTTAGGAAAACCGCCCATACCCCTCCACGCCCTTTTATTTATACAAGCTCTCACTTAACATTGGCCGCCACCCTTCACCGAACACAGACATACCCAGCACCTGGCCTGGCCTCCACCACCTCCGCGCTCTCTCCCATGGCATGCCTGCTCTTTTGGTGAACCCCAGAGCCCTCTGGTGAGTTCCAGGCCTTACCCCCCAACCAGACACAGTTTGACCCTTGGATCCAGATCCAGATGTCTCTGCCCATCCTTTTCCAGCCCCTCACTACTTACTCTTCCCCACTCAGCCTCTAATGCTCTGCCTCACACCCCAATAACTCCTGGGCCCTAACTGGGTTTCTTGTCTGTAGTCATGCCCTGCCACCCAGTCACCACGTCGAGGACCAAAGTTCAATCTAAGTATGAAGTTCCGTCAACTTCATACTTAGAAGTTGGACTCTCATTAAACCTTTCTTTAATGGGAGTCCCCTGGATGCACTGGTGTTTCCCAGGAGGCTGCCCTTTCCCCACATCCCTGTCTAAATAGCTTGTAGTTCTCTGAAGCCAGGTTGACAAATCTAGGTCCACTCCTCCAGGAAGTCCCGGAAAGCCTCCTGGCTTCCTGCTTCCCCTTCCAGGCTGCTGTCCTGCACAGTCCTTCCCAGGGTTCTCTGTGCAGGGCTCGGTCCTCTCTCCACATTCCTCACTGTGACCACATCATCCCCACTCCCCATGCTGAAGACAGGCCTTTCCTACCGGCTCACTTACCTTGACATCTTGAACTTAGCAGAAAGCTTGGCCATACTGTGACCAATGTATGATGCCAAGATAATAGCCAGGCAGACACTAAGGAACAACTTGACCTGGGGCTGGCAACCCACAGAGGGCAAGGACAGAAAGCTAAGTAGCTCCCCAAAAGGCCAAGACTCCACCAGCAAACCAGGAGCCCCTTCCTCACGCTGTATGCTGGCAGCCTGGCATCATAGCTTTCCTTGAGCTTGCCTGCTTTTTGTTTTGTTTTGGTTTGGGTTTTTTTTTGTGATCATTTTATAAACAAAACCTAAAACCTGTCCTGGGTTCTAATTTGTATGCCTTTGCCTACTAGTAAAGGTGAATGTTTTTCCATGTATTTGCCTACTAAATGTGTTTTTCTCCCTTTGAGGATTTAGCTGCTGGTTTGACAAACACTGTTGAGGGGAGTTGGTCTTTTAGGAGATGGCTCTAGGGGCGGAATGGGGATTGAGCTGGCAAAGGTCACATGGAGGCTACAGAAAACAGGAAGGACAGAGACAAAGAGGCCAAGGGACGCCAACCTGGGCGCTCCCAAGGTAGGTGAGCGTGGGGGAGGAAGGGGTGAGGCTGCATGCAGGTCTCTGGCTTAAGTCACCCTAGTACCCACATCTGCATAAGGTGGGCTCTTTGAGTAAACCCTAGGCTCAGAAGGTGTAGAGCCATTCCAAGAGTTAAGGGAATCTGATATGGAAGTGGCCTTCCTGAAAGAGAACTTGGAAAGCAGTGGGGGAGTAACAGGCACAGGCGGAGAGGGAGAGGAGAGACTGGCAGAAGGAAGAGGCCCTAGCAGGAAGCGTTATCACTGGAGTGCCCTTAGCAGCTGAAGTTCTGTGAGTTCCGGTCATCTAGCTGATATTGACTCCAAATTCAGGTTGGGTCTCTGAAGGTGCTATTCCTGTTATTCCGTCTCACTGATGAAGACTGATGTCCAGAGGGCCAGCGTGCTAATAAATGGTGTTCCCAGAGTGCTCTCCATATCTGTTCTCACTATGGGGCTCTTACAGCAGACAACTAACCAAGGCCCACTCCCTCCAAGCCAGGAGTAGAGCTCAGTGGAAGGACTAGCAGTCCTGGGAGAACAGGCCACCGCGGCCGTGCTCCCCACTCGCAGCCACCAAACCACAAATTCCTTTCTCCTCTTGGACTCCCCCTGCCCCTGCACGAGATCAGCCTCACCCCAGCTCAGGAAGCACAGCAAACCTGAATGTTCTGTCCTCCAAGCCCGTCCGACTCATACCCTGCCACACTGCTGTTCAAAGCAACGGTCCAGACTCATTACTCCTTAGATCCTGGGGCAACTGGGGAAGGAGGTGAACTTTAAAGAGCTTCTTTAAGTACTGAGATGGTGGGCGGGGGCGTGCAGCTCAGTGATTGTAAGTTGCCTAATGTGTGAGGCCTTGTGTTTGATCCCCAGCATGGTAAGTCTTTAAACTCCAAGGTATAATATGTGTTATATATTATCAGAAAAGTACCATAGTCAGCAAAACCTGCAAGGTGTAGGACAGATTGTCCACTGTGCTGCCATCTGTGGGGACATCAGAGGAAGAAGGGGTGCCTGCTGCAATCCCTGTATGGGCCTTCTCTGAACAGACCATCTCTGGAAGGATGCGGGAGACACTGATACCGTTGATCACCTCCACGCAGAACTGCAGAAGGGTTTGTGCCAGGCGAACTCCTGAATCCTTCCTGAATGTCTGTGCTGTGTGACTAGAATAATAGGTTCCTACTCAGAAGCCAAATGAAGCAGGGAAATCAGGCAATGGTTTCTCCTGTGGGAGGATGTCACTGAAGTCCCCCCCCACTCCTCTCACCCCAGGGCCAAGAAGAGACTCCTGTGGTATCTCCTCCTGACAGCACTTGGCTTCTTAGGCCTGTACCTATGCAGGCTCGGTAGTCTCAGGTACTCCCCAAGGCCAGGGTTAAAATGATCTTTCCAAGGGTCTCCTGGAGGGAAGGAAGGTGGTAGCTGGCTTAGCCTACGCAAGTTTCCTATGGGCTCTCCCCACCAAACAAGGAACACGCCAAATGTCCCTTCCTGTTTGCCGCGCCTACAGGTCGTTAGAAGTCTTCCTCCCCATGGGCATCTGCCCATGGGCCACAATGCCTCTGCTGAGGGACAACTTCACAGGTGCCCTGCGACACTGGTAAGCGGTCACTATTCTCCCGCCCAGAATGTCCACAAGCTGCACAGGTCTGCCCCAGGTCTCCACTCTCTTCTCACCCACACCCAGGCATTCCGTCTTTGGGGAGCCAGGGGTGGTGCTGTCAGGTCAGACATCACCCAGTCTGTGTTTGGTTGGTTCTAAACTAGGGTTTCACAGGGACAGGTCTGTGGGTCCCTAGTGCCCAGCAATGGGCAAGTGGCAATGAGCAGAGATCAAGCAGTGAGCAGAACTGTCTTTCCTAACTCCTCCTGCTCGTGACCAGGGCCCGGCCTGAAGTCCTGACCTGTACCTCTTGGGCAGCACCAATTATTTGGGATGGTACCTTCGACCCACATGTAGCTGAGCAAGAGGCGAGACGGCAGAACCTCACCATTGGACTGACTGTCTTTGCTGTAGGCAGGTAAGATGCAGGGAAGGGAACCGCCCTTCTAGGTGGTGAAAAGGAGGATGTGTCCACGGACAGGGAGGGTTTCATGGAGCCTTCTTCCATGCCATAGAAACGCCTAGTGCAACTACAGCCTTTACCCAATGTTTCGGATTCTCAGGGGCTCAGAACTACTTCTAAAAAGGAACCAGTCTGGGGGGAGGGTAGGTCTGGCACAGATGGAGACACAGGCTTTGTAGCGAGGGCATAAAAGACCTTTATAGGCTAACGAGGAGAAGGGGAGCTAGCACCTGGCTAAAGGAAGGTTCTCAGTGTAGGACATAGCATGGGAGTACTGGGGCTTTGCCAGGGGCGTGTGAGGAAGGGAGAAGGGTGGGGAGCTCAGGAATTTACAATGGAATGACTCCAGGCTATGTAAAGAAAGCCACGAGGGTGGATGGAGCTGGAGAGTGGCAGACGGTTATTTGCCGGATCACAGAGCTGAGTGAGGTGGGCCCTTTGGTGGGTGGAAGAGCAGGGCAAGCGAGCTGAATGAAGAAGGGTCTCACACAGTGACACAGGGACGTTCTGGAGGCAAGACAACGGTGGCGACCTTGTCACGGGAGTAGCCCCAGAAGCAGGCAACTGAGGAGGACAAGGGCTTCACAGGTGAGGCTGACAAAGGCTGAGCCTCAGGTGAAGAGAAGCTAGGCAGGCGAAAGAGACAAAAGGCAGGGCCCTGCCCTCCCGTCCAAAGGGGTGCAAAGGGGATTCCTGGCTGGATATGGGGTCAGACCTACAACCCCAAGTCACAAAGCAGTGGAGTGCAGGACAGGCTGGGCAGTGGTGAGCCTCCCGTAAAATAAGATGAGAATAACCAGGAAGGAAAACCTAAAAACCTGGGCAAAGAATTCTGGGCCACTGGGTACCCCAGAAAACTGTTCAAGGTTTCTCCAATTGTGTCCCAAACCCAACATAAAGGGGAGAAAGTCAACGGAATCACTACAACACAGTGATTGGTGGAGCCAAAGGGCTGGTGCGCATGTGCAAAGGGAACAGAGCTGCTCACTTAGGCTGTAGCCATCCTCCAGGCTCTGTGCCTGTGGTCATTAGGGGGCCATGCAGGATGCTTTAGGAGCCAGGGGCTCCAGAAACTGAAAGCGAGATTTCAGGACCCCTTCCTAAATCCTGCACTCTGAGGTGCTGACCTGTGAGTCCAGATTGCCACAGGTCCACCGGAAATGCAAGTCAAGGGTCTGGCCCCAACTCCAAGCGGGGCTCAACTCCTGTCTCCACCACCTAGCAACTTTGTATCTTTGTTCAAGTGACTACAGCTCTTTAAAAGACAGCACGTGGGCTTAGCAGTGTGTGCCACGTGGCAAATGCTCAGACTATTAGCCTTAACCACTGTTCCTTCAGACTTCTGGTTGGTGTCTCAGGTTACCAGGGATGCAAACTGTCAGTATTTCTGAGCATTCTGCTTGTCCATGTAAGCAAACATTGTGGCTTAAACTAAACTGCTATAGTCAGGAATTCAGGACCTCCCAGGAAGGGCTCTTCACTGTCAGATGTCCGAGTCTCAACAGGGAGACCAAAAGCTAGAGACACAGCAATGCCTCTCACTCCAAATAAGCTCCCTCCATGGCTGGCTTGGGCTTTATATTAATTCACCTTCCTATTGCTATGATAGACATCAAGGTTAAAAACAATTTGGGGAGGAAAAGGTTTATTTCATCTTACTTCAGTCCGGTAGTCCACCAAGAAAAAACTCAGGGGAACTAGAGGCAGGAACTGAAGCAGAAACCATGGAGGAGTACTGCTTATTTGCTTGCTCCCCATGGACTTGCTCAGCCTGCTTTCTTATACACCCCAGGCCCATCCTCCCAGGAGTGGACCCACTCATAGTCGTCTAGGCCCTCCCACAGCATTGCCTACAGACCAATCTGATGGTGACCTTTTCTCAATTGAAGTTTCCCCTTCCCAGATGCCCCCGACTTGTGACAAGTTGACAAAAATAAACCTAAGCAGCACAGGCTTCCTTGCATCATAGCCGCTCCTGCTTCTGGTCCCGGCTCAGAGTACTGCAGACACCTCCTGTTCTCCAAGGGTGGGCCAGTATCCTCTTGGCTCAGAGGAGTCAGAGCAAGGCCATAGTTAAGGGAACAGGGAAGGGCGACTCATCTCTTCCAGGCAGAAGTGGTAGACAGCTTTCAGTACCCTTTAGTTCACCATCCCAAGGCTGGAGATTTGGGATTGCACTGGTGTGGGCACGGATGGAGGGCGGCGGGACTGACTCTGGCCTGACTGCCTGGCAGGTACCTGGAGAAGTACCTGGAACACTTCCTGGACTCTGCAGAGCAGTACTTCATGGTGGGTCAGAGCGTGACGTACTACGTGTTCACTGATCGCCCGGAAGCAGTGCCCTACATGGCGCTGGGCCAGGGTCGCCTGCTGCGGGTGGAACGTGTGCAGCAAGAGAACCGCTGGCAGGATGTGTCGATGGCGCGCATGCACACGCTACACGAGGCGCTGGGAGGTCAGCTAGGACAAGAGGCTGACTATGTATTCTGCCTGGACGTTGACCAGCACTTCACCAGTAACTTCGGGCCCGAGACACTGGCCGATCTGGTGGCGCAGCTGCACGCCTGGCACTACCACTGGCCGCGGTGGCTGCTGCCCTATGAGCGGGACAAGCGATCAGCTGCTGCCCTGTCGTTTGGCGAGGGCGACTTCTACTACCATGCGGCCTTGTTCGGGGGCAGTGTGGCGGCACTGCGCAAGCTGACGGCTCACTGTGCGCTTGGCCAGCAGCTGGACCGTGAGCGTGGCGTCGAGGCAATCTGGCACGATGAGAGCCACCTCAACAAGTTCTTCTGGCTGTACAAGCCCACCAAGGTGCTGTCGCCTGAGTTCTGCTGGGACCTGCTAATTGGCTGGAGGACAGAGATCCACAGCCCTCGCCTGCTCTGGGAGCCCAAGGAGTATGCATTGGTGCGAAACTAACCCGTTCCCCTGACAGGCCAGGTGCGGCAGCATCTTTCAAGATCATGAAGCCGAGCCCGGTTATAGCGCCTTCCCCGGTTATAGTGCCTCTGGAAGGGGAATTTTGGAGCTCAGAGGTCTTGAAAAGAGGTTCCTGTTCCTGGGGCCTAGAGACCCTGGTACCAACAGCTGGCCGGCTGGCTACTCCCTTTGCTCTAACCAGATACAAGTTACGGAAAAGCGAGAGGAAGCTCTTCCCCCAGAACCTACTTTGGTAGCTCTTGGATCCCAGGTGTTTGGCGGCAGCAATACACCGGCAATAAGGAAGTGGGAATCACAAGGGGCGCTTCCTAGTGTTAAAACTTTTGCCTAGGACAGGGAAGAGGCGGTGCTTGCTTTCAATTCCAGTGGTGTGGGATTCCCCTCTGTATGCTATGAATATGTTTTATTATCGTTGGTTAATAAAGAAGCTGCTTTGGCCTAGGGCAGGGTAGACTGTAGCTAGGCGGGAAAACTAAGCCAAATGCAGGGAGAAAGGAGGAGTCAGGCAGATGCCGTGCAGTAGACACCCAAGAAGCAAGATGTAAAGTAACAAACCAGGAGTCTGGTGGTGAGCCATGAGATAATAGAAATGGGCGGATTTGAGATATAAGAGCTAGCTAGGAATACACCTGAGCCCTTGGTCAAACGGTGTTGAAATTAACATAGTTTTTGTGTGATTATTCAGGTATGGGTGGCCGGGACACGAAAGTGCAATCTCCATTTACATCCCAGCAGGTGGAAGGCAGAGGCAGGTGGATCTCTGAGTTCAAGGCCAGCCTGGTCTACAAAGCAGTGCCAGGACTGCTACACAGAGAAACCTGCCTCAAAAAAGCAAGCAAGCAAACGAACAAACACACAAAAACACCTTTTTCCTAGGCCTTGGGGTCAAGGCCTGTCTTAGTTGCAGCCTCTGAGTGGGCTTAGGTATCAGGGTTCCCCAGACCTTGCCAGTGACTTGTGTGACAGCCACTGAGCCGTCACTATCTGAGGCTTGACCGCTGTCTAGAGCCATTCCTGTGACCAGAGCCTCCATGTCTCCTCTCTTGGTCCTCGGCTCTTCATCCTCTCGGCCTCTGCTGTCCTTCTTGTTCAACTGCCTCTTCCTTCACCGTAAAGCAGGCTGCTGGCTTCCGCTTCTGCAGCTGGCCTGGCTGACCCAGTGAGCACTTCCCTTCAACTCCCGAGTAGTTGGCTGCCTTTGTCACTGGTGTCACTTGGCCTGCTGACCCACTCGGCTAACTCCTGCTGCCTCTTCTATCGCCTCTGCTAAGCTGTCCCTATGCTACCGTGTTCCTCATGTTACGAGACCAGCCCTCACCCTTAAACCTTGGCAAGACCGTTCAAGAGAAGCCTTTTATAGACCTCACAGTGCAATCAGGGAAGTAGCAGGGGAGAGCCTGATCCGTCTTCCCTACCCCCACCCCTCCTGGCTCACTAAGAGCCGCTGAACATCTAGTTCTATAGCCATAAAGCCCAGTCTTACCTCTCCACGATACTCACAGCCCCTTCTGCTAGACCTCCTCTCTGCGTGGTTATGGAGTCTTCTAGAGTTCACAAAGGCTTTGACAGCAAAAAGTCCGTTTCAGATAACCATGGTAAAGGCTGTGCCTTCAGGAGCCAGTCACCAGCTGTGACTGTTGCGTGGCCTCCTCAAGGTGCCCGTGGGCTGTGCGAGATGGCTGCTGCGGGCATGAGGGCACTCTGGATGGCTGTTTGTCCGACAGCCCTTTGCTTGGGCGGTAAGAGAGGCTCCAACATCTGCTAAGGGGGGAGTCAAGTTGCCCCCTCTCCTATGACTTTGCATATTTACAGGGCAGTGGACATCAGAGGGAATGCTTACGATAAGGGCTCAAAGATCTTATCATTAACACCGACAGTAATTTCAAGAGATTTTTGACATTGTTTAACCCTGCCCTGGGCCCCAGGATGGGATGTGTCCCCTTCCCCCTGCCCCTTTCACCTCTGACCTTACTGAGGGCATCTTTTGAAGTGATTAAGAGACCAGGGCACACGGAGAAACTAAGACTGTCCAGACACAGGATGTGTTCGAGTTCTTGGGATGTCGGCAGCAGGAGCGTGAGGTTAGTCCATCTCCCTTCAGGAATGAGCCACTGAGAAAGCACAGCAGGCGTTCCCGTCAGGGGCTCTGCCATGGTGTCTCCCCGTCTGCACCATAGTTTGTGCGTATTTGAAGAATGCTATAATAAACAAGCAATTTCAAAGTGGCCCTGATAGTATTTTCTACTGTAGGGTGAAAAGAAAAAAAGAAAGAAAGAAAGAAAGAAAGAAAGAAAGAAAGAAAGAAAGAAA